AGCAATCACAAGACTGGGGATGCTGTTCAAATGACACAGAATAGGCCTCTTTCAAAGACCTCTACCTGCTCTGTGATCTGATGCCATCTGGATTTTTCTGATCTGCAAGGTGGACAATAGATCACAACCCGGACGTGTGTTTTGTGACCTCGAATAGTGCAGGAATTCCCCTGGTCACAAGAAGAACCATCCTGAGTCATTTCCAGCAGAGCCAACATTGCCCAATTGTCTTCCAGATTGGCCTAGATGTCTCTTCTGCAGTCCTTGCCAAAGCCACATTGGAATTTCCCTAAGCTGACTGGCCCACTATACTGAGAAACAGAACATCGGGTCCCACAGCTCAAACAGATACCTAGAAACTTTAGCTGTTTTACAAACATCCTAAAATCAACTGCTTAAAAGTACAGGCAGTCCCCGGGTTACGTACAAGATAGGGACTGTAGGTTTGTTCTTAAGTTGAATTTGTATGTAAGTCGGAACTGGTACATATTGTAGGGGAAACTCTAGCCAGACATTTCTCCAGAGCTCAGTTTTATTCTCCCACACCTCACTTCCCTCAATCCTTTATTCTCAAGCTGAGGTGTCTGCTGAGAAAAGCCGCTCCGCGTCTCCCTGGTCTGCTGGGGGGGGTGGGCGCTAGCTTCACGTCTCCCTGGTCTGCTGGGGGGAAGCAGCTAGTGCGGGGTTGCCTCACCCCATTTGTAAGTAGGGATCCGATGTAAGTTGGATCCATGTAACCCGGGGACTGCCTGTACATCCCATTGCAAGTCTTCATCCCCTGCTGGACAAAGGAATCCAAGTCCCTCCTGAGGGACACCTGGTTAAAGTAAAGTGAGACTGCTGAAAGCCTGGATTTCACCCACTTGAGCTGTAACACACAAATTCTTGCATCAGCTTGAAGGATCCTACCCAGTTGTGTGACACCAGCAAAGGTGGCCACAAATGCTTTTGCCTCTCATCATCCTTTTAACTGTAGGATGCTGACAGACAAGAATCAGGCCAGGTGGTCCAGTGGGAACTCTGCGGAAATGTCCCACAAAGCCCCAAGGAATCTCCACTCTTTTCTCCATATGTTGCATTATTGGAAATCCAAACCAGAAAGCTGCAGGGGTTGATGGCATTCTCCAGAGTTTCTCAACAACCTAGGGAGATGGGGACAGGAATGGCTGGCCACACTTTTATTCCCATGCAGAGAAGTGCCAGCAAGCTAGGGACAGGCAACAGCAGTTGCCTTATTGAAACCTGGGAAACACCCTCTCCCCCATGGATGCAGTCAGCTGTCACCTCATCTCTCTCCTTTTAACCACCAGCAAGCTAATGGGACAGGTGCTACTCTGGTGTCTGTCAAATATTATCAAAAATATCCTCCCAGCAGAACAGGCAGGATTTTGCCTGACAAGGAGATGCTGTGACCAAAATTGTTTCATTTACTGGCCTCAGCAATGCGGGATTCCAATGCCCTTGTTGATCCATCCTTGGCATACGATAGTCTGGAGACAGAGTCACCTCTTCAAGATCTCTCATGTCTTGTGCATCTGCTACTTATATAGGGTCTTCGGCTACTCCAAACGTGGAAAAGAGTGGTGGCCTTACAGAAGGACTGTCTTCATGCCCTTTCCGTGGGTTGACGTGTGAACTTTGATATCCCAGGGGCTGTGTACTTCACCTGTATAAATGCTCGTTAATAACTATGCAAGTGCTATCCATTGAAGCATACTGAAAAGATAATGTGCCTTCTAAAATTCCATTTTAAATTGAAGAACAAGAGGATCTTAGCACTGTAGAAATACTTCTGAAGCTGAAAGCCAAGTTCCTTGCAGTTCTACTAATAACTTATTGGAAAAAATCACAGACCCTCTTTTGGGTCAAACAGTAGAATTAACTGGATAGAAAACCCTTAGTCATGTGATCCAGTAGTCTATAAATTCTTGCAAATGAATTTTCTAAACCCTTTAATGTTGTACAATGAAAATGCTATCATTGTGTCTTATTTAATATGAATACTATGTTATGGGCCATTACAAATCAAAAACAAATCTGTAAAGAATTAATCTTCCTCAAAGCAAGATCCCATGGATAATCATAATGATTTAATAGCTTTATTTGCTTATTTTTGGAAGAACTGGAAAGAATTAAAGTATAAAACTATCAAGAAAATAGCATGGAAAATAAAGAATGGACAGACCAATCATACTATTTAGTGGTTTGGTTTTTTTACAGCACTAATCACCAGTATCAATAATGAAACACAAATAAACTGTGAATATTTGTGAGCATGAGAGTCAAAAGTATGTCTCTTCAGCTATTTAAAAGTGGTCAAGTAGGCCATGTATAGCTAGTATATTATGCCACCAAACATAGGTTATGGATGCAAAGGCATAATTTTTGGGAAGTGTTAATGGAAATGATTAGAAAGATTGGGGTGAAATACAGAAAACAAAATGTTAGTGCAGAAGCCTTGTTTTGTAAGTAAAGCTGCTAGCCTGTTAGGTGGACTAAAAAATAGCATGTCTAGGAATCTAAAGTAAATTTTATATATTAACTACATGAATACTATTAAAATTGTAAAGACCAGCCAAAATGATTTTTGAACCTGATTCTCAATTTGAAAGGCATTCAGTGAAATTGAGAAGTAATGTCAAAGGGACCATCACAGCAAGAAGTTAAGTTCTAGCAATAAAATTCTAAATAAGCTTGTAAATTCAGTAAAGAAGAAACTAAAAGGTCAATAGCATATCAGAGAGAACCAAGACAGAAGGTAAAATTCCAGTAAGTAAAAATAGTAATAAAAAGCTCTCTGTAGATGTTTTCTGGATAGTTTCATAATTTTAATTCTAACTTTTTATCTACTTATCTCTGTTCTCTATCTCTAGTTCTTCCCATGCCAACTGGGTATAAACAACTCTCCCTCCTTGTTTTGTTCTAATGCCATAAGAGTGCAGGTAAAGCATGAATTATTTTTACTATGGTTAAAAATTCTACAAATATTTTGTTGTTGATCAGCATAGTTATGTAGCAAAATGGCATAGGAAAAGCCCAGAGTGTCCTCACACTCGTGCATCAGTTCATGTAATGTGCTTGTTTTGAGCTAATACATAGACATATAAATAAACTGAGTTTCTCAAGGTTTGGTCATGATTTTAGCTGTACCTTTATCCAGAGTTCCCTTTTTTTGTTTTTTGTTTTTTGTTTTTTTTGTTTAATACAACAACATAGGGAGAAGCAAGGCAGAGAAAAGATCTATAAAACAAGGGGAATCTCAAAGATCCCAGGCCCATTTTTGAATCAGTTTATTGCCTTGTATCACCAGCAAACTCTCTGTACACCCTGTGAAGAGCACTATACTTCATATACTTTCAAGAAAGATGTGGAGAAATTGGAAAGGGTACAGAGAAGAGCGACAAGAATGATTAAACGTTTAGAGAACATGACCTATGAAGCCAGGCTTCATGAACTGGGCTTGTTTAGTTTGGAAAAAAGAAGATTAAGGGGGGACATGATAGCGGTTTTCAAATATCTAAAAGGGTGTCACAAGGAGGAAGGAGAAAATTTGTTCCTCTTGGTTTCTGAGGACAGGACATGGAGTAATGGGCTTAAAGTGCAGCAGGGGTGGTTTAGATTGGACATTAGGAAAAAATTCCTAACTGTCAGGGTGGTCGAATATTGGAATAAATTGCCAAGGGAGGTGGTGGAATCTCCCTCTCTGGAGATATTTAAGAACAGGTTAGATAGACATCTGTCAGGGATGGTGTAGACGGAGCTTGGTCCTGCCTTGAGGGCGGGGGGCTGGACTCGATGACCTCTCGAGGTCCCTTCCAGTCCTATCCTCCTATGAACAGAAGGAAAAATGTGACATGACTGAATTTTGTGCATATGTATACTTTGGTATTGATAGTTCTAGAGACATCTTTTTATTTATTGTAAAATATTCTTATTGGTCCTTCCCTAGTCTTTTAGAAATTGTTCTGCTGGGGTTAGAAAGCCAATAAGGTTGGTAAAAATGTCAAATAGTGACCTTAGGTAAGAGTAGTGATGATTCTGTAATCTCTGAATGGATGGCACTCTTAGATTACTAATTATTTTGGTAGAAAAATCATGCATTTATTTTCTTGGTCAGTTACCTTATATCTTTGAACCTGCTAAGGTCGAAAAGTTTAACAATCAAAAATCTTGTTCTCATATCTCTTAAGAATGTTGCTGCAAAGATCACTTGCCTAGTCTGTTGCTTTGACCATTGAAACCCGCTCTTTGCACTCCATTGGCTTCCCATTCTCTAATACCAGACACAAACTATTTGTCTTTGATTTTAAGGCTCTTTGTGCATATTCCCTCCCTACCTATCATGTCTTGTTCACTAATAGTATGTCAACTCTATCCTTCAGTTACCCCATAATGCCTCCATCACACACTTGATAAATCTTCAACAACCACTTTTTTTTCTCCTATGTTATGGCTCACACTTGGGAGTAGTTCCCTGTTAACAGTCATTACTCTTCCTCATTTACTCCTCTATAAAGCTCTCTTTGCTTTTCTGTGATGCCAACTAGAAACTTGACAATGATTAGGCTGCTGGTGTGCTGAGACTACTGCGTATATTGCTACATCATTGTTTCCTCATACTCCACCATTTGTCTATGTTCTCCTGTTGCCACTGTCTTACTATTAGGTTATAATCTCTTTGGGGGCAGGAACATTTTATTGTGCTGATTGTACAGCAACTAGCACAATGGGGTCCTGGCCCATGACTAGAGCTTCCAGGTGCTCTAGTAATGCAAATAATAATAAAGCACATCTCAGAAACACTTGAGCAAGAAGTTATGTGATTTAGAATTAATTTTCTTTAACATAATTTTCTTTAATATGTTTACCAGACATAATTCTAGGAATTGGGAAAGTGTTCTGAACATTTACAGCATTAAACTTTCTGCTGTCTTTTTGTTGTTGTAAAGCAATGAAAGAAACATTTATGTATTAGTTGTCTTTCTGTTTTCTCTTTCCAGATAATTGCTCTGTAGTGGAAATTGCCAATATGTATCATTCAGTATCTGAAACCAGTCATCCCTTGCAAACAGAAGAACAAGAAATAGGCATCGATCCCTTGCAGGGTTACTTGAACAAGCCTGAAGAAGGTGAGTTCATTATTTTTATACTTTGTACTTAGAAACCTTATGTAAGAGTCTCATGATAGTTATGCCTGTCATAATTTGTTTAATTCTCTCAATGAAGTTGAGCAGGGCATCTTAAAGAACATTTCACAGAGTGTGTGTAGAGCACTCTGACACTAATGAAAACCACAAAAAGTCTACTTTCAATTACAGACAGAAACATTAGCCAAATGTTTAATGCACTGTCATCCTTTTTTTAATCATAAATCAAACAGTGACTTCAGCATAACAGTATTGAAAAGCATCATGGCCTTTGTTGCAACTTTTTTTCAAAAATGGGCTCTTTTGCCTGCTCTATACTGTTTATTTTTTTTCTTTGACAAAATTCAGCAGTTTTTTGGATGAGAGTTATACCAGTGAGAGAGACTCCTCCTCTCTTCCTTTGAATAAAAGTTAGTTTTCATGGCTTTCTTCAATAAAAACCCAAAACAGAATGGGCGGAATTAAAGTGGTAATTGTGTAACTCAAGATAAATTCAGAAGGTAATATTCAAACTATCTCAATGAGAATGGGTAAGAAGAAACTGCTTGCATAATGCAAGTGCTTGTCTATGTTACTTGTCCTTTCTACTTATTTGCTAGTAGTGACAACATGGTTGGTTAGAAGGAAATGATAAGCTTAACAAGATGCTTGAAACCTCATCCTTGTCATGAAAACATTCCTCAAGTAGTTAGTTATACACAATGACACCTTAACTACCTGTAATTTTCCAGTCATTGAACACATGTACCAAGAATGCAAGATAAAAAATTTATTTTAAATTAGAATTGAAACAACTTAGTCGTGTGTTTTTGTGTGCCTCTCTATGTAAAATGTGCCATATAATAAATTGCATTAAAAGAACATTTCCGTTTTTAGTTCAGATATAATTTTTTTTTAATAAAAAGCTAAAATCAGAGTTTATTTTTTCCCTGATTTATAAAGCTTTCTTTCAATGTAAGGAAAAGTTGAATGGACATCTTTAGACAACCCAGTCTATAAATGTAATATTTTTTTCAGCTGATTGTCACTATGCTTTTACACTTCACATCTAAAGGGTTAATAGGCATCTTAGTTTGATAAAATAAATGCATTCTTAATATACATTTTCAGAAGCCTAGGAGCAAAGATTTATAACATTATGAAATGATACATATTTTCCAAATAAAGTATTTCTGATTTACTTTCAGGTTAGTGTGTAACTCCCACTGACCAAAAATAGCAAGTTTCTTGTTTAGTGGTTTTTTTTTTTAATCTACATGTTTCCCTCAGCTTTGTTTCAAGATACATCAAGATGTTAACCCTTTCACAAAAACATTTTAAATTAATTTTACTCTATAGTGTGCCCGAGTGATTAGTTACCTTGAATGAACAGGCTTTTAGTTTTTATCCCAACCTTAACATTTCTATGACATACAAAGTTATTAGTATTGAATTGATGTTTAAAAGTGCCATTAATTCATTTACCCCAAATGTTCATTAACAATGTAAATGTATGCTGATGTTCTATGAGACAAGGAAGTGACTAATGACTCTTCCCACTAACAACACTTAAAATGAATAGAAACTTTAGATAGCTCATCTTGAAGTAATCAAGGCCCTCATTCAGCTTGGCATCTCTGTATGCTCTAAAACAGCTGTCAACTGTTAAAAATATATACACAACACACATACACACACACACACGGGGAAGATAAGGATATGTAAATACATGGTTCCCCAATGTCATAAAGGTTACCAACCATCGTACAGATTTTTCACATTCTGCATATGTAAATATTTTATATAATGCATCTATTTTTTCTTCTTTTTTTTACCATGAAACCATACTGCATTTTATTTTATCATATGTAACAAGATCAGTTTTCTATGTTTTTATTTAATTTTAAATAATGAATATTTTTAGATTGTTGAGTAATAGGGATTGTGTATCAATCGGTGTAATTTTTCCTTGCCAATCCAATCTTTCTTGAAAATTTGAGGCACTTGTACTGATTCCTATATAAATATTCTAACCATTGAGATGAATCCATCTGTTGATTAGCAACTTCCCATGAACTGTTGCTCTTTATTACATATTGTCCTTTTTTACTGTAATTTTGATGTACGTTCTCTCAACTACAAATATAGTTTATGGTAATACAAATGGGCAGCATAGCTCTTAGAAATGTGAATATATTCTTGCTATTTCTGTTTCAAGGAAACTTACACGTTTCTCTTTAAAATGCCAGGAAGTGTAACTACTTCCACCTTTCCTAGGTGAGGGAACACATCTCATAATGGAAGGCTATTTAATTTGGCAGAAAAAGGCATAACAAGATCCAGTGTCTGCAATAGGGATATAATAGTGTAGTCAATTACCCGATAAACAAAAGCTTGTAGGTTAATGCTATACACTACATGCATTTCCCCCACCAGTAAATTTTTTAGCAGGCTGGCCAGCAGCCTGTCTCAGTCCTGGCTTGTGATGGGTCCGGGACCTACCGCCACTGTAGTTCTGCATTTAAAGTGTTGTTAGGAGGTAGGTGAGCAGGTAGTCCGATTCAGTTCTGGCTCATGCTGGGTCCAGGAGCTCAGACCCCCTGCCCAGACAGGGGCTGCTGCCACCCCTGAATCAGAGGCATGGGGCGACAGGCAGCCAGTCTGCAAGGGGAGCTGGTTTTTAAATTGGCACCCCACACTACTGCCTCTGATACAGAGCCAGCAGCATGGCAGGTGGCTCCTTGGGAATAGGGCTAGATTGCACTGGCTGCTAGCCCCACCCCTGGGGATTATAGAATAGTTGAGTAACTGATAAGAATTCATGAGATTACTCAACTGTTCAATTAACTGACATTTAAATCCCTAGTCTAGAAGGTGAAGCTTGACAAATTCAGACTAAAATTATGATATGCATCTGACCAAGTGGGTCTTTGCCCATGAAAGCTTATGCTCCAATAAATCTGTTAGTCTGTAAGGTGCCACAGGACTCCTCGTCGCTTTTACAGATTCAGCTAGGGATAACTGGTAAAGGTCTTCATGGAGATGCATTAAAGAAAACAAGGCAGATCATTAGTAAATATAAGCATCGTGAAAATAGAAGACAGAAACTATAGTAATCCAATTTGGGAAGTTACAGGAAATAATACATTTGGGGAGAACGTAAGTTTATTATAGATATAAGATATAGAGTTGTGAGGTTTTCACATTTCTGTATTTGATTTTGCTGAGCCTTCTTTAAAGGTGTGGACAAAAATTAAGGGTGTCATTAGTCTGAGGAAAGAAATTTACCCATTCAATTTTTGTGTGATTTAGGATATTGGGATTTTGAGTCATAGTGAAATCTTATGAGAATGTGCTTGTTTACAATTATCCAAATCAAGACAGCCATACTCAAGCTACTAACTGATCAATAACAGGAACATTTTAAAAAACATTGTAGAATCTGATACATAGAAACTGTAGAAATCTGAGTAAACAATATTCCCTTATATAGAACTTTATAATTTCAAAATGTTGGCACAAACAATTCTCACAACAATACTGTTAAGTAAGAATCCCCTTTTTACAGCCAGAGAAACTGAAACAAAGTTAAATTTTCTAAAAGCCATCTGCAAATGAGATGTGGAATTTGGATCCGCTCCTTCGCATAGTAACCTGAACATAGCTATGAAGCAAATATTTTCTCATTTCAAGAATCCAAGTATGTTAATGCTGAATTCTGTCTTTAGGAGAAGGAAAACACACTTTGTAGATATTAACTATTTTAGCAGATCCCAGAGATAATCTGTTATCATGAAAACCTGCATGTTGTGCATATTTTAACTAAAAATGGAAACAAAATAAAACATTTTATTTTTAGTTTTCCCTTGTGCATTTAAATATGTGGAATCTTAGACCTTTTCTGACAGTTGAATTTTGCTAATCCTTGAAGTTCTCACTCTCATCCAATGTTGGACTTCCATTGACACCCATATATCCTCTCCCTTTACATGCCTTGTTTGCCGCCTCCTTCTGGGATACGTTCTTGTTCTCATCCTGTATTTTTAGGAATTGGATACTTTGTGTACCAGAGGCTCATCATGGTTGTCAAAGACTTTTGACCTGTTCATTTATTAGTGTGATTAATTTAATCTCCGATAAAAGGATAATTGCTTATTTCAAGCCTTCAACCCCAAATATCAAGTATTTAAGTTACTTCCAGAGTTTGATCCTCTGTGTGAAAGAATAAATTAATTTTATCACAGTGATCTCCCATTCATACTTTTAACATTGTATACCATTCTAATTACTTACTGTTTCATATATGGGATATTTGAAATATGGCGCACCTTGTAAGTGAAAATTCAGGTGTATTAACTTCTGTCCTTTTCCAGAAAAGTCTTGATTCTTCTTCGAGTGCTTGCTCATGTCCATTCTGATTAGGTGTACTCGCGCTGCGTGCATGGATTTCGGAGCTTTTTTCCCTTAGCAGTATCCATAGGGCCAGTAAGGAGTCCCCTGGAGTGGCGGCATATATACCCCTGCTGGCCCTCCCACCCCTCAGTTCCTTAGGCTCTGGGAGACAGACCCATAGTCTCCTATAGACAACCACCTAACCTCAAGATGATTCTTACCAACCACCACAGGACATACCACACTAATACCAACCCTGGTACCTTCCCTTGCAACAAACCCCGTTGCCAGCTTTGTCCACATATTCATTCTGCTGATACCATTATTGGACCCAACCAAGTGAGTTATAAGATCAAGAACACATATCCCTGCGCATCCAGAAATATAATCTACGCTATCATGTGCCGAAAGTGTCCGTCTGCTATGTACATTGGACAAACATCTCAGACACTTCGCCAAAGGATTAATGCCCACAAAACAGATATCAGACAAGATCACAAAGAGAAAACAGTTTCTTGCCACTTTAACCAGAAAGGACACTCTCTAAATGACTTAGCCACCTGCATTCTGCTACAAAGACCTTTTACATCTGCACTTGAAAGGGAATCCTCTGAACTGTCATTCATGTTAAAATTCGACACTTACCAACAAGGACTTAACAAGTCTTTGAACTTTCTCACCCATTACCAAGACAGTTTCCCCAATTATCACCTGTAATACCATTAACTCACAAACATCCCACTCTCCCTACCTTTAATATCAGCAATTCACAGACACTTACCTTCCTTCCTCCCCCTTCCCACCCCCCCGCATCCCCCTTCTGTTCTGCAATGTGATTTGTCCTTTTCATATTTGTTCATTTTTTTTAAATTCTGCCCCACGAAAGCTCATCATCTAATAAACCATCTTGTT